TAAATCCGCACGTAATGTAAAACGTCAGCTCCTCATTGATTTGTTTCGCTCATAGAGTCATATCCACTCAGGTAATCTAAAATGAATGACTAGTTAATAAACTAATTGTGATATCATAGTAAATGATGTTTTACTTGGATTGTAATTTGCCCCAGACCAGACCAATCCAGACCAGTTCGGACTAGACCAGACTTGGATAGTTATAAAAATACAAAGAAACCAGACCTTACCAGTCCAGACCAGAACAATTCAGATCAGACCAGACCAGCAAATTACAGTCCAAGTAAAAACGTCCTAACACATGTGCAACTTTTAAACTTTGTAGTACTCTGTATCTATTAGTAATATTTGTATAAATAAGTTTTATTTTAGTAACATTTTTGTAAAAAATCCCGATTGATATTGTGGTATATTGGTATGCAAGTAGCAAAATTTTAAATTTAAATAAACCATAACTAAATATGGTGTGATTTTCAAAAAAAAAAAAAAACTATATATGGTGTATCAATGTTACAACAAATAGTCCGTAACAAATACTTCGTACATACGTTATGTCAAGAGAACGTTTGAAATTGTGTGAGATGGTTGATTCTATTCAAATTTAAGAAGTTTTAGCTCAAATTATTAAATTGAATAATTCTGTTGATTTAAGAAAAAATTAAATTTAAAATATATTGTATTAATAAAATAAAGAAACAATTTATATAAAAAATTGTTAAAATGGTAATCTACAACATATAAATTGAACCAATCCAATCAAAAAAGTATTCAACTTTACTTATTTTGATAACACAACTCAGCACAAGAAATCAAAATTTAAAGATAAATGAAAAAGTTGATTATTAAATCTGATAAACCGAAATCACAAAAATGTTGCAAATTCAAAAATATAATTATGAACCATATATGTTGGACGATTATTAATTTTCACTTGTATTCAGAATACAAATAATCCGCTACCAACAAATAACCTTTCACATAAATTCCAAATAAGATTTGTTGTTTACTATCACAATATTACTAGCTATGGGCTCTTTTTGAATTGTTCTTCAAAGGCATTGAACAGGGTTATGTATAAGCAAGAAAGGAAGCAAAATAAGATACGTTATTTGGGATTTGGGATTCATTTCGGGCTCACATCAAATCAGATTTAATCAAACATAACCAACACTAATGGCCTTTTTGTTTGGAGGTTAACCTAAGTTATTGCATGTTCAATTTTTAGTTAGCCTCGTTTGTTTGTGTTTTTTTGCAACAAGAACCTAGGTTATGGGTTAACCTTACTTAACTTCGAGAACCTAGAAACACCTTAAATTGAAGAACCTCCGAAACGGGGGGGTTGGAGGTTAACATAAAATGAGCTAGAGTGCCTTCATCAAAACAACATTTATTTTATTAACCTAGGTTCAACTTATTTATTTCCAAACACTATTTTATGCATAAACTTAGGTTCACTTAGGTTAACCTAGTTTTTATTGAAACTTAGGTTTACTTAACTTCATTCTTTCCCAACAAAGCATAAGAGAATAGCAAATTATAAAACAACCAGACCCAATCAAAATGAAATTAGATAGTAGTAAACCCTACATGATATTGGACATTATCATATCATACCAAACTTAAAGCCATACTGACAAACTAATCAGACCATTCTAAAAAATATAGTCCAAGTAAGAAAACTATAAACAATAAAATGAATGAAAAGAATTGATCGGCCGAACTACATAAAGGGTGTGTTTGGTAAACGGTCAATCTTGTATTTTTCGACTCTAATTGTTTGACACGGTTGGCTATTCTCATTGTTTGGTAAACCGTGTCTTTTTTAATGTCAAATTACTGAAAAAATGAAAAAAATCGATTTGAGTAAATTTTTCATATTAGTTTTCATGCCATGTTTAAACATTCTAATTTACCCTCTAATTGTATTTTTTTCATTTACTACTTTAGATGTATGAAAAATAAATACCGAGTTGTAATTATAAAGTAAAAATGATAACTATGTATTAAGAAGAAGAAATATTGTTGTGTTTATATTAAGTCATTATTAGTACGGACTACAAAGTGTCATTTGAAGAAATATTAAAAGAAAAATATAAAAATATTATGATAAAACTTAAAAGGATAATAATAACAGTAGTAGTAAGTACCAAATATAAATAATAACAGTAAATATAGTTTGAAAAGGTTGTATACTTGTATCAAAGCATAGATTCATATTTACATGTTGTAAGCTAACTTTAAGAGCTATGGTACAAAACATTTTTCTTGAATCTCTAGTCAAAACTACCAAAAAAATCCAACGTTATCATTTAGTCACAATCACCAAACAACCAAGAAGTTGCCTCACACCCCGATACTTCTCCCAAAAAAGTAACTAACAAAGATGACAAAAATAATTGGCGGTGTTTGGGAAACGGCGTTTCAGCCAAAAGATGGCGGTATAACTACTTTTAGCATTTTCGTCCTTAACATTTGTGGACAGAACCGCTAAAACGAAAACAGTGCAAATAGGAAATTTTTGGATAAGCATTTTGAAAATGACATTTTCTACTAATTTTATGGTCAAACAGCTAAATTACCAAACATTTTCTGACAACTCGCCAACTTATTCCACTAGTCAAACCCGTTGACTGAATCCGCTATTGACAACCCGCTAACATAATTCATTATCCGCTAACCGTTACATGCCAAACACGCCCAAACTCTAGGGTGAGGTTAGATTACAATTTTTATCCATCTCTATAATCTTAACCCCTGAGGATGTTGTCTTTTGGACTGTTTTCAGTCCCAGACCAGACCTCCGTAGTTATAAAATACACAGAGACAAGATGTTTAACAGATCAAACCAGACCAGCAAATTTCAGTCAAAAAGAAAACATCCTAATATTAAGGTTTACTGAAGACTAGGAAGTGTACAAGGGGTATAACTGATCCACGACTTGAGTGAGTGAAGGGTCTAACACCATTATTCACCACTTCACCTATCTCTAAATTATGCTATCAAATATGAACAATCAATGAGCATCTACATGCCAAAGGAAAGGGACAAATGAAATTTTAATTAGGGTTCAACCAAAGAAATACCTCCAATCAAGTTTTAGAGAGTTTGTACTATATAAGCTACTGACACAACATAAACACATCCAGTATAATAATAAGGTTACAACCCAAATTTAAGCCATAACATAAAAAAGGATAACTAAAAGATAATAGACCAGTCAGACTCATCTAGTGAGACCCAGTCAACATAGCCTAACGCAGTAGAAGCAATAAATATCACCAAGTAGTTATTCTGTGAATTTTACTGATTAAAGATTGTGTCAATATCCAAAAAAGATCCGTATGAATAAATTAATCGGAATCAAAGTCCAGTAAATTTTCTTGCATATGAAAGGGATAAAATCTCTAGATCTTTATGACCTCTACAAATCCCCCGTCCTACCGTCATATAGATCAACAATAACAAGGGATCGATTTGAAGGTAGCAAGGAAATCCGAAGATTATCACCAGTTTTTTGGCCACAATATAGTGAAGGGAAAATTCCCAATAGGACTAAAAACGCTTGAGAGTTTCAAAATATGACTAACATGTATGTTTTTCCCTAAATAGGAATAATTATGGTCGAATTTGAAAAATACTTCCATGTTTAAAGAGTGGTACGGCCAAAATTAGTCATATTTAAAGAATAAAAACTAGCACTGGGCAAATCGGTTTACGGTTCGGTTTTTATCAGGTTCGGTTCGGTTTCAAGTTGTTCGGTTTGGCGAAAAATGTATTTCGATTTGGTTTCGGTTCGAGAAATTTTCGGTTCGGTTCGGTTTGATGTTCGGTTTATAAAGTTAAAAAAATAATGTATAATTTCATATTTTTAAGTCAACATTTACTAATTTGAAATGTTTTATTTTAGTTTAAATCCAAACCAAATAAACTAAAACAAAGCAATAAAATCAAGGGAAAATGGAAACTAATAATCCAACCTTTTAGCGATCTTCTTTCAATAATCTCATCTTTTGATTATTCATGAATAATCCAACCTTTGCACCCCATCTTCATTCATTGGTCCCTAGTCGGTTAACGACCTACTATTCCAAGTTATTTTCTTATCTTTGCAAAATATTGTCTTTGTGAAAGATGAGATTTATGGTATAATGATTTGCAAAGATAAGAAAATAGCTTGGAATAGCAGGTCATCAACCGGTCAGGGACCAGTGAATGAAGATGAGGTGCAAATGTTGGATTATTCATGAATAACCAAAAGGTTAGATTATTGTAAGAAGACCGCTAAAAAGTTGGATTATTAGTTTCCATTTTCCCTAAAATCAAAATAGAGTTTTTTGTGTTGTGTGTAAAATAGCAATGGTGTACAAGCAATGTGCCAACATAAATAAAATATAAGTAGTGATTTACATGTGTGCAATGAGCAAAAATAATAATGGTTTAAATGGTCAATAGAAGTGAGTGAGGGCTTAGGAGTTTGGACAGATATGTTTCACTCCAAATCACCAAGTCACTAAACCTACAACTTCCCTAATGTATACATATAATGAACAAACACATTGTCGTATTTCACTGGTACAATAAAACTTACAATCTCCATACTGCACACATATAAGAGGCAAACATTCGGTTTGAGCAAATGTTTTACCAAATAGTTTACTTAAGTAAACCCCAAAAAAATCAAAACACCAATTTTCATAATATATGAAAGTTTTTTTGAGTTTCTTTAGTTCGGTTCGGTTTATTTAGTTCGGTTCGGTTTTGAGTTTTATCGGTTTCGGTTCGGTTTAATATGGTTTGAAAGAAATAGTACCAAACTCAAACCAAATTGCATACGGTTCGATTTCGATTCGGTTTAGTTCGGTTTGGTACGGTTCGGTTTAGTTAAACCAAACCGTTATGCCCACTCTAATAAAAACATAGTAGCCATATTTTGGAATGGATCGACAAATATATCTACTCTTGTTTAGGGCAATTTTCTTATAGTTAAATTCATGTATACCTGGAGAAAGCCCAACCCTTCATCTCAATTTCGTGAAGCATTCAAGGGAACTCGACCTCAATTAAACAGAGATTTGAAAAAACCAAAGCAAACTGATAAAGATGACCTGAAGATACAAAGAATTAAAAAGATAAGTAGATAAAATTTGAGGTGATGTATAAAAAATTAGGGATTGAGTCAGATCTTAGACTGAACATGTAAAAAATCGTATGTAAATAAGTAAAGACCCATACAAACAGGTAAAGGAGAAGGGTTGAAAGAGAAATCGTTAGGTGACAGATAGAGAGTAAGCATAGATAGCTTCCAGCAGAGAAATAATGCAAGAAAACACGATTTATGCTCACTCTCTTCTGTCACCTACCTTAATTACCCCTTCGATCTGGCGGCGAGCTCTTCATCATTCTGGGCTTCTCTTGTATATAATTATCGAAGCAAGGGAAATAATCAGCAGGGCAAAACGTGCCATAGCAAGGGCATTTCTAGGAAAATGAGATCTACATCTGAAATTATGAACCCTAGATAGATAAGACTATAAGAGGAATATAATGGATAAAGGGGGGAGACGGTAAGAGTACGGTGTACTATTCCCATTGGGAAGTGGAAAAGTTAGTACTCAAAACAGTGTCAAACAGTTAACAGTGTCTCAACAGTGTTTCTACAGTGCGAAACAGTGTCAAACAGTGCCTCAACAGTGTACTATACAATAAAATCAAATTTCTTTCCTTATTTTGTGTGAAGTCAAAGTGTGAAAATTAAATAAAACTGGTGAGAGTATTGTTTTAAGTGGTTGTGATATATCGGGCTCGAAGGAAATGAATAAGGATGACGATGTTCCCTGACTTTGGTGTAAAACTTGCATATAAGTTTAATACTCCAAACTTTAAAAACACATTATTTTCACACTATTGCCATTTATTATTTCTTTCAAAATTGTACATTTATGTGGTTAATTACATAATTTAAAATATCAAATTAAAATTCTTGCAATTATATAAATTGAGGGTAACATTATTTATTTCGCAATGGAAGTTTAAAATGTTAATTGTGTCTACATGAATTCTAAAATATTTTAAATTGTGCAATAACATCATAAGCTTGCATTTTTTTAAATAAATAATACATGAAAATGGTGCAAAAATAATTTTTTATATGAAGTTTGGGGTATATAAATTTCATATGCAAGTTTAGAGTGTTTACCTCACCCCCTCAAAGTTAAAGATATTTTTATTATTTTCCCCTTCTGAGAATGATAATCTTACACCTTTTCCTTTTTTACCCATTTAATAAGTTTGATGATCAATTTTTTGTGATCATTAACACATTAACTATTGATGTTAACCGTTAGATTTAGAGGTCCTTTGGTAATATCCAAATTGATTGTATAGCCTGATTCCGTTGAAACTTTGATTAAAGAGGCTGAATTAGCCGATTCTGTTGATTTGCGTAAAAAGTATATTTAAAATATATTCAAAAAATAAAATAAAGAAAAAATATATGAAAAACAGTTAAAATGAACATCTACAGTAACTCTAGTCAATATAATCAGAAAAGTAATTTCAACCTAGCGAAATCAAAAGTTATGTGTTTAGTGAAAATGTTAGTTGATAAATCTGATAAACTAAAAAACAACGTCACCAAATGGGCTAATTTTTTTTAACAAATAGACACTCCAAAGTCACTTTTTGTCTTTCAATAACAATCAATGGTTATCATTAATTCATTAATTACTTCAACCTAAAATATGAAATTTCACCATCTTTATACGTGATCAGTGTGTTAATCACCGCAAACTCATCGGATTGTTGTCCTCCTTTTCGCCGTTTTCATCTTCAATAATCACTTCCTCCTCCTCCAGCTCTATTCCCATCTCTTGATTTTCGTATGATTGACTCTATGCCCCATTCGCCAGTGGTCAAAAACAGAAACTTCGTGGGCAAACCGTCTCTAAAGAGTTTCGTCTGGCACCACACAACCAAAGCCTTCTCCATACCAAAGCTTTGACTGCACGTAACTCTCAATCGAATCAAAGAGCCACACGATCGGCGCAAGAAGTAAAACCCTATCGAGACTCCGAGAGGGTAACGACCGCATATTTTGCATTTTATTTATTAAAAATTGAAAATGATTTTAGTGTTTGGTTAATAATTGTAACTATAATTGAACTTTTGTGGTTTGGTTTGATCTAATCCAAAGAAAGAGGAAAAAACAAATGTCACGTGGACCCCCACACATGATCTTAATGGGAAAGGCACTTATTTACCTGCTAAATCGTTCAATTGAGCGTTCTTTTAAGAGTCCAATGATTCAATTGAGTGTTTATAAACTATGAGGGATTGAGGGCTTGATTGACAATTTCGGTATAGTATGAGGTTGTGACATTTTTCTCTATATTCTATGTGTCGGTAACTTTGAATGTGTTTGACAAGACCAAATTTATATATACTCAAGAAGTATTCACGAGAGGCAACAGGAAATAAACATCCATTTAGATCGAATTTAGTAAGAGCATTAACAAAATTATATAATTCCTTCGTCCAATCCCTTCAAATTTTGTCAATTATTTTTTGGTTATCCCATTAACTTTGTCATTTTTTCATTAATGCATTTATTGTTTCTATTAGTTTTCTCTGACCTGCACAAACCTCAACTATAAAAGTTTTACTTTATTATTTATCGTGTCGGTGAAACTTAATCAAGTTTTAAGGCACATAGGGTGTGGTGTATATGGAATCACTTTCTCCCTGCAAATTCCATTCCTCAAGATTAGATGCCAATATAAAAGCCTCTTTGAAATTCTTTTCATGCCTATTTACAAACATTAATAATTATATACAGTCAAGGTGTGTGATATTAAGAGGCCGTTTCACAACATTCTTTTTAGGCTTATCAGGCTTATCAGCCAACTTTTTCATCAAACACGCAAATTTTGCTTTCGCGCGCTGATTTGTATAATAAGCAGAAAAAGTAAGGTTCGAATTACTTTTCTGGCTGTATTGACTGAAGTTACTGTAGATGACCATTTTAGCTATTTTTACATATAACTTTTCTTCATTTTATTAATAAAATATATTTTAAAAATATTTTTTCTTAAATCAGCAGAATCAGCCAATGCAGCCACTTAAGTCAGAACTTCATAAATTTCAGCAGAATCAGTCAAATCAACCGATTTTCGTGCTACCAAACGGGCTCTAAATAAACTCGTATTCCTTAGCGTGTGCTTTTAAAAGTATGAAGTTCAATCTGTAAGGCCCGAATGTAATATCTAATTGGTGATTTATTTCTCATATAATCCTTTTCACACACACACATATATGGAATTATGGAGTGAAGTTTTGTTAAAATGTATTGTTTTCATGCAAATTGTGACACATTGACTGTCATACACGATGCACTATTGCCTTTAAATGATGCATTTTTTGAAATGAAAGATTTTGTTACTTAGGGGTGTTTTCTTTTGGACTGAAATTTGTTGGTCTGGTCTGGTCTGTTCTAATCTGGTCTGGTCTGGTCTGATCTGGTCTGGTCTGGACTGGTCTGGTCTGGTCTGGTAAACGTCTGGTCTCTGTGTATTTTATAACTACAGAAGTCTGGTCTGGTCTGGTCTGGTCTGGTTTGATTTGGTTTGGTTTAGTTTGGTTTGGTTTGGTCTGGTCTGGTCTGGTTTGGTTTGGTCTGGTCTGGTCTGGGACTGAAAACTGTCCAAAAGAAAACAGTTTCTGCTCTTTCAGCGAGCAAAAGCAAAAGATGGAGTGTTTGGGTGAAAGTGCAGAAGTGATTCTGGTGCTTTAATTTTCTCCTAGAATTGATTTTTTAGAAGCTGGGGGTGACCAGCTTTTGAAAACTTATTCTGATTCTGCTACTTCTTTGAAAAAGAAGCAGAAGCAAAATCAGTTCCAAACACCCCTTAATTACAAATATTTCATCACGTGTTTTCTCAAATTTATTGCATTCTTGGCGTATTTGGAACCCTTAGATCAATGCACTTAATGTATCCTCACTTAGTATTTTTCATGGAACGAGACATTTACCACGCTTGATGTCTCGGAGTATGGCTCCTTGTTGGAAAACTGTCGAGCTAGGGTGATTTCTAACAATGATTTCCGAGTTGTTTGTACTAGGTGACAAGTTAATAGTAGTGCTCATATTCTCGATAGAGCATCTACTTGTTATGTTTCTTGCAAGATTTTTGAATTTATTTCTCACTGTATTCTGAACATTATTAATGCAAAAATGAATTAAGTTTTTTCATTAAAAAAAATGGAACGAGACATTTTATTTGAACTAAAACAGACACACATATAGGTTTTGGTCTTTTGGATTAAGTAAAAAGAGGTCGAAAAATGAGAATCACTTTTATGAATTAAATTTGACATTTGATGACACAAAATAAGTTAATAATACACTACTAATCAAAATCGCGGTGACAATTTGATAAATAAACAAAACTTTTCTGTTTTCACAAAAAAGTTCAACAAAAATGTCTTAGACAAATAGTTTTTTGTGAATGAGAAATAGTTAAAGTGTACATGTTTACACTTTTCACAGGAAGAGCTCTTTTATTGAAACTGCACTATATATATATATATATATATATATATATATATAAGAGATTAACTAAATCATAATGTTATTACTTAATTTTTAACACATAGTTACTATCGATGTGAATTCGCGTGATCACTTTCTCTCTCTAGCAGGGCTTATAGTCGCTAGGGCGTTTTTTCTGCTATCGACGTAAGTCGAGGAACAGTTTTGTTTCTTTTGCCGCAACGACGGGACGGTAAAATACATGGTACAGCCGGCTGTACCGTGCACACGGTACAACCGGACTTTATTGGGCCTGCGCTTCTTCAATCTGAACTTCGCACCAGGTTTCTACGCTTCGGCATCGCACAAAGCTTCGCCTCATACTCATTCTGTATGTTATGTATACTCATTTGGTATTAGTACAGTACTCATTTTAAAATGTCCTATTCATACATATTTCAAAATGAGTTTTATGTTAAACTCAAATGAATATAACGCCAAAAAAGAATGAACACAAACAATTGAGTTTTTTTTAATATTTTGATACTCATTTTGTAATTATGTATGCTCATTTGGTACTGTTTTATACTCATTTTAAAAGGCTGCACATGTTAAACATATAATAATTCATTAGATTCACATATTGAAATTAAATGAAATTGATTATAGACATAATTTAAGACTTTAATAAGCGAAAAAATAATAAACGGAATGTGATATATGAGGATTATTGAAGCAGATATCACTAATGCCCACTTTTAGGCTCCTAATACTCAAAAGAACAAGCTTGATACTCATCAAAATTGATTCAATGCTCATTTAGGAAAATCCATAATTTTCACCAAAATTACAAATTTGCCACCGGCTGTACGGATGGCACCGTATAGCCGGTTGTACTATATACGATTCCACGAAGGGACGAGGCCGGACTGACGGTAGCGAAAGACTTAGGGCAACTTGGAGAAGCTAATACTGGATT